GCAGGATCCCGACCTGCCTGCCTCCTGGGGAGCTGGGCGGGGGGCTCTGGGCACAGAAAGGAAGGAAAAAGGTGGGAGAGGGAAGAGGGAGAGCCAGGACTGGGAGCTGGAGGGTGGACAGGATGGTCTTCCCGCGGTGGCTCCCTGGGGGGTACACCTGTCCCTGTCCCCTTCTGGGTCCCAGGTGAGGGGGTCTTGGGTCCCACGGGCGGTTTGTACCCCCACTCCACCCCAACACTCACCTCGCTCCTCTCCATCCCTCCCCAGGGCCCCAAGGGTGACGTTGGCGTCTCTGGAGAACAAGGCGTCCCAGGCCCCCCGGTAACGTATTTATTGCTCTTCGCCGCTCTGCCCCCCGGGTGCCCCGGGGGGGCGGGTTTGGGCCCCAGACACTGAGGACGTGACACTGGTGTGTCCTACGCCCGGGGACCCGCTGCTGGGACCAGAGCGAAGCCTTCGTCCCACCCGTCTCCCTCCCAGCCGTGGGGCTGTTGCCAGGAGGGTGGCAAAGCCGCATCCCGATGGAGACTCCCACGGGCAGCGCTGGCCGAGGCCCCCGGGCCATTAGCCCACTTCCACGTGGCTAACTCGCCATCCCGGGACACATCGCTCCTGTACACCGAGCCCCCCCCACCCTGAAGCGGGGGCGCAGTGCCCCGCTCCCCGCAGCGACGTGGGGATTAATTGGAGCTCGCTGAGCACTTTGAAGATGAAAAGCAATTAACGGGCTGAGCCCTTTGGGCCGGGAAAAACCAAAACGGCTTTGAAGCCGGGAGCTTTGGCAGGGAAGGGGGAGCAGTTTGGGCCCATTGCGGTTCTTGAACCGACAGCTGGAGAGGCGCCTGGCTGGGGGGCTGCAGAATGAGGAGCGAGCGGCGGGACTGAAATACCTTGTGTTTGGCAAACCCGGCTGCTTCCCAGTACCGGCTTTTGCTCTAATTGCTGCTTCCCCCTGGGCTGCTCCTGGGGCCCTTTTCCAGCTAAACCACTGTTGTTTCCTTCCCCGCAGGGACCACAGGGCCTGAGGGGTTATCCCGGGATGGTGGGACCCAAGGGCGAGACGGTAAGCTCCGGTGGGGTGCAGGGGTGGTTGTGCTGGGCTCCAGGGTCAGGGGGTCCAGCTTCCCCAGGGCTGAGCCATGGTGATGCTTCCCGGGCTAGAGGCTGCTTCCCAGAGCATCCGTCGCTAACGTCCGTGGCTGTCTCGTGTAGCTGGATGCTGCCTCCTCAGTGGGGCTGGAACTGGCTGGGGGCTGAGGTTGGGATGGGGGAATCCACCCGCCCTGTGCTCTCTTCGCAGGGTCCTGCTGGCTACAAGGGGATGGTCGGGACCATCGGAGCGGCCGGGCGGCCGGTGAGTGCCTTCCCTCATCCCTGAGGGCCATGGGGGACCCCACACTTTGCTGCTCAGCCCCTGTTTTTCTCCCCTTTAGGGCAGGGAAGGCCCCAAGGGACCACCTGGGGACCCTGGTGAGAAGGGAGATCTGGTAGGTAACCCACCCCGCCGGGGAGGGCAGTGCTGTGCCCCACACGATGCCAATGCCCCTTTTTCCCCGGTTTAGCCCTGCTCCCCGTCTCGGAGAGCGGCTCTGCCCAGGGTGCCCTCGATGGGCACCTCCTCCCTCTCCCAGCTCCATCCCTGCACCCAGGGGGGCTGAAATAACACTTGCACTCTACTGCTCTAGGGTGGCCGCGGCATCAGGGGCCCCCAAGGAGACATCGGCCCCAAAGGGGAGAACGTAAGTACCGTTGGCAGCGCCTGTGCCCGCGCGTTGGGCTGAGCCCCTTGCAAGGAGACGACCTCTCCATCCCTCTCCGTCCCGTTCAGGGCCCTCCGTGTCCTTGCACCCTGGCTCAGTGCAGGGCTGGAGCTTTCCTTTCCCTTTCCAGCCTTTTTTTTTCCCCACCACAAGCCTTTCAGGCCCTCTCAGAGGTGTCAGACCAAGCCATTCTTCCCCCTTTCACAGGGTCTCCCAGGCATAGATGGGAAGGACGGCACCCCGGGTATCCCAGGCGTGAAGGTGAGCTGTTCCTGGTACCAGTATGTGCTGGAAATAACCGGGACAACGAGTGGCACACGGTTCTGGCCCTTGGCACGGCGTCTCCTGACTCGTGGAGTGTGGCTGTCCCCACGGGGTCAAGGACCGTGTCCCCCTTTGGCCAGCAGTCCCCTGTCCCACCTGCGGACACCCCATTTCTGCACCTTTCTCCAGCACGTGGTAACATCCTCTCTGTCCCTCGTAGGGCAGTGTGGGACAGGCTGGCCCCCCTGGAACGCCGGGACACCGGGGACAAGCTGTGAGTATGAGACTCCCCCGCCCGGGTGGGTACCCTGTTACCCATGGGATGGCACCCCCATCCGGGTCATGCCGGGGTGCAGGGCCAACACCCAGCAGGGATGCTGCCTCCAGGCACGGGGTGCTAGACAGGGTCCCTGCCTCCGGTGCCGTGCACTGGGATTGATCCCAACTTTGCTTCCGCAGGGTTTACCGGGCCAGCCGGGCAGCAAAGGTGGCCCAGGAGATAAGGTGGGTCTGGGGTCACCCTCTCTGAGCATTCATCCCATCCCACACAGCGTTGCCGCAGCCTCCACTCTCCCTCCCTGGGCCCGCAGCCTTATCCCCATCCCATCCCCTGTCCTTCGTCCCCTGTCCCTGAACCTCTGTCTCCCCTTTGCAGGGTGAAGCAGGTGCTCGGGGCCAGCCCGGTGTCACCGGTGCCCCAGGACAGATCGTAAGTATGGGGACTCACCGCGTGCCCCCCCGGCAGCGCCCAGGGTTTGCTCTCTCTCTCTCTCTGGCTCCTTTTTCCCTACTTGCTGTCAAGCAGAAAGCAGAGTGGGGCCCTTCATCCCCCCCCCGAGCACCCTCTTCCTCATGGGGAAACCCCTGCGCCCGTTCTCCAGCACCTCTTTGGCCACCCGTGCAGGTGGCTGTCCCTGTCCCGTCACCTGGCTCCAGGGGACAAGGACAGGGCAGTGCAGTGCACCTCTCGGGAGGATGAAGGGCAGATGATGGCATGGGAAGGCGAGAGGGAGGCAGCTGGTCTGGTTTTTTTTTCTCTCCCCCCACTCTCAGGGTGAACCTGGACCTCGGGGTGAGCAGGGACCACAGGGTGTCCCCGGGATGAAGGTGAGTCTGGGGTCCCGCGGGGTTGGTGGTGGTGCCGGGAGCTGCCCCTGACGCTGTTCTCTCACCTGGTCTCTGCAGGGCGACCGGGGCGAGCGCGGCCTCGTGGGTCCCCCCGGCGAGCAGGGGAAGGCGGTGAGTGGTACCCGCAGCTGGGCTGGGGAGTGGGCTTTGCCTTGGTAGGGCTGCGGGAGGGGGCAGGGGGCTGGCGCTGCTGCACCCACCTCTTGCTTGGATGAAAGCCAGCATCCAGCACGCGTCCCGTCCCACTGGGCCCCCCCGTCCCATCCCCCCAGCGCCGGGGTGAGGAATTAGCCAAAGGGGCACATAGCACAGGGATTAGTGGTCCCAGGGCCATGCTGGGTTTGCAGCTCCAGCGGGGAAAGGAATTTCCATCCCTGGTGAAGCCCCCCAACTCTCCGTGCAGCTGGAAGGGGAGCTCCTCCATTGTTTTTTGCCCTGTACCCCTCCCCCCCAGAGGCCATATTCAGGGCAGGTTGGGATGCTGTGGGGAGGACAGGGAGCTGCCTTGGAGAGGAGCTCCCATGGGGCAGGAGGGTCTTCCCATGCTCTCTTCTCACTCCCATCCCTCTTTTCCCACTGTTACCTCCATCCCCAGGGACCCAAGGGCGAGCAGGGTCCGCCGGGGATCCCAGGACCTCAGGGCTTGCCAGGAGTCAAAGGAGACAAGGTGACTGCTCCCAGCTACAGGGGATGGGGTCCAGCTCCCGGAACCTGTGCTGAGCCGGGCTGACACCCCCACCCCCGTTCTCTTTTCTCCAGGGCTCCCCAGGGAAAACCGGCCCCAAAGGCAGTACCGTGAGTACCTCAGCTCCCAGCCCAGGCTGGTGGGCTGACACCCACGTTTAACAGGGTGACACCCACCTCTGGGGGGTCTGACACCCCCCTGACACCAGGCACTTTCTCCATCAATGCCCCCGGCACCCTGGGAAAAGGGGTTTCAAGTGGCTGCCAGAAAGGTTCACATTTCCCATTGCCTTTTCCCTAGGGAGATCCCGGCGTTCACGGCCTCGCAGGGCTGAAGGGAGAGAAGGTGGGTCCTCATGGATGGGTCCTGGGGTGGGGGGACAGAGGCTGGAAGCAGATCCCTGCCCACATGCTGGGGTCTCCTGCCCGGCACGGCCCTGGGCGCTGCGGCATTGCACCCCGGCGCAGCCACGGTACGCTCGGGGGGGACACGTGTGCCTCCCCCCAGCTGCATCTCTAAATTCGGGCTGTCTCCCCATC